GTTTTTGGCACTACTACTTGGTAAGTTTCTGTATTATCAAATTTAGGTTAATACAGTCAAAAGTCGTTAATCCGGACTCGTCGGGGCGATTCCGGATTATTGATTTTTCCAGATTATAGATCATCAGTTTAAATCTCGTAAGATGGCATGCACAAATTCTAAAATTAAAAATATGAAACCGTATTTTAGGAAATAAAGAACAATTATGATCTAAAGGGTATCAAAATTTACAAAAAAAAGAAGCTTAATATTTATTTGTTTACTTTATTAAACATTTCTTTCAATGTAAGTTGTTTCGTTTTATGTGATAATACTTTCTCTTTAATTCTATAAACAGACATAATTTCTTGTTCAGTTAAAAAGCTCCGCTGTTCAAGTCCCGTAATTGCTGTGCCGAGAATACCGACTAACTTGTCAATCGAAATTTCTTCGTTTTCACTAACCTCTCTGTCACCTTCTTCATGTTTTTATCCATTTTTTGCAGCAATTCCACTTTTTGTTTGACGGACATCGAGACATACTTTCGTTTTGTAGATCCTTTGGGAGCTCCAGAAATCGGAAATTGACATAATCGAAAGTTCAAGTTTACTTTTATAAAATTGCTCTTACAGTCTGCAAAAAATAATAAGCTGCTCCAATTCGAAGATTAAGGAATAACGCAAGCATCAACATTAACTGAAATAGATAATTGTATAATTTTAGTTTATACCGTCCGTTATACGTTAAACGCGCACGCGAAAACGTATTCTGCGCTTGCGGGCACGCGTAAACGCCTATGCGCATGTGTCAACGCGGCGCATGCGCAGAAAGTTTTTAGCTTTGAGGTCCGGATTATAGATCATTCCAGATTATGGGTGTCCAAATTAACGACTTTTGACTGTACAGCACTTCAAGTAAAATCTATTTCTCTTCAGTTTGGGTTACTGCATCATAACCCAAGCACAGCTAGCTAAAATTATCCCTTAATATAGATGAATAATAATTTCTTTACATTCTGATAATTCCCAGCATTACATATTTTTACATTTTCTTCTATTTGAATTACTGTACTACATTATTATAAAAATAACCAAAATGTCTTTATATCTATATATTTTTTACTATATCTACATATAGAACATTCTAAAGGATGTCTCATCTTCACGTTGCACTTAGATAAAACCAGTGAAAAATTATGCATTTTAGCTGGAGTTTTTCTAGCTCCATAGTAGGCAGGACTGTGTTATACAGTTGCAATCTAGTGTGAATGTTCTCTATTGTAACAGCAGCTGCAGTTAAGTATACAAGCTGTGCAGGAAAGTTAACCCAAGTAACAAAGCTAAACTGTACTGACTCTAACACAGATATTTTTAGCATTAAAATATATACATAAATATTTATATACAATATAAATATACATAATAATTTTGATAATATAAATATTTATAACTTAAACTTTTTACTTTTTATGAAAACCCTTAATTTTGTTTCATAAAATTCCAAGGTTGCATGGAACACCATCTGCAAAACCTATCATGCATTAGTATGCTTGTTACCTTACATATTCGAAAACCATCTCTTTCTTTTACTTAGACCCCTTTGATGAAAGCCATGACAAGCCACTGAGTGCACGGTAGTCTTTCCTTGAATTGTCAATAGAAATTTTCTTGACAGTTACTGGAAAAAAAAAAACTTGGCAAAACTATGGCCAGTTACAGTGACAATGACAGCACACATAATTTTATGATGTTTTACAGGAGCAGATGAGGCAAACAAAGAAATAGTTCCCAATCCTGGCTCTGGCAGTTAAGGGGAAAGCCTCTAAACAACAGTATTATTTTACGAACAAGTGGAATTTTAGGAAAGCCAACTTGGAAGGCTTAACGGGATGAATTGGAGGTTCTTTTTAGTAAACCAACAAACTATAGGAAAAAAAAGTGTAGATTCCTTTTTGTCATAATTTTGCAAGACCATTTCAACAGTGGCTAAATGTTGGATACCTAGAGGTAAGCAATACAACTACAAACCCTTTTGCATTGAATCAACTTACTCTGTTAAGGGAACAGTTGGTTCAGGCCTGTACTAAGGCTGAAAATTTTAACAACCCAGAAGATGTCAGGAATTGGGGAAAGAGTATTGCAGTTCTTCATAAAGAAATCAATTTAGCAAAGTACAAGAGTTTCAGTAATTTTATAAATAATATTGACTACCGTAAAGGAGCTACGGTTTTTAAATTTGTAGATAAATTGAAACATGACGACTCCCTTTCATCAAGGGTACCAATCATTTTTAAAGGGAAGGCTTTAACAATTTGACAAGGATATTTCTAATGCTTTTGTGACATTTTACGCTTCTAATAAATGCTTGAGTAGTGAACTTGTGAGAGATCAAAATCTGATGAAGAAACTGGTCAAAAACTCCCATAGGACTTTGAGATTTGGTCAAAAGATTTTTAATAGAGACTTTAAAAATCTTAATACCGACATTTTAGAACTAGAAGCTATTGATTTCCTAAAGATAGGAAAAAGTCGAAGCCCAGATGATATATATTTTAAGTTTATTAAACATCTAGGATACAATGCTCAAATAGTTCTTTTGTCTATTTTTAATCATAGTTTGAACTCTTATGTACCCACTATGTGGAAAAAGCCATTAATATCTCTATTTTGAAAAAAAAAAAAAAAAAAAAAAAAAACCTGCAGATAATATTAAAAGCTATTGACCTATTGCGTTGACTAGTGTTTTGTCGAAGATGGTTTAAATATTACTCTTAGTGCTCTGAAAATATTAGTGTCTAAAAAATGGTATGAAAGTACATCAGGATAACAGCATGTGCCACATCTTCACTCTGAGATGCTCACACAAATATTTGGTGCATCTCGATCCACGCTTAAATTGGAGGAAGCATTTGAAAAAAAAAAAAAAAAAAAAAAAAAAAAAAAGCTATATGTCTTAAAATACATATTTGGCTGGCTAAGGTGGGTCTGCTACTTACAAATTATACATTCAACCTATTACTGGTCATCATAGTGATATCCTCATCACAGCTCCAAAGATTGTAGTCCAGGTCTTTGAAGTCTTCTAGAACCAAGCATTATGCATAATTACTAGGGTAGTGAGATCTACTCCTATTCTTGCAATGCAACTTGTAACCGGTTTGGAAGCTGTTCATGACTAGAAACATGTAAGAAAAAAGTGATCCTATTGCACAAGAAGCTGGTGCGTTTGCCCGGCAACCTATTTTGGAGGAACTATAATAAAGAAATTTCTAGAAATCTTAAAACTCAAACTGGCTTTATCCAGCTGCTCAGAGAATCTGATGCTTCGGAATTGAGCCATGATTATCTAATTTTACCTCCTCCCCATTGTTCCTTGGACATTTTGAATTTGAGCATAAATCTTGATCTTATCCAAAGAGTTGTTAAAAATTAAATAAACGATTCACAATTAAGATCTGCTGCAGTGGAAATTATTGGGGTTCAGTATTCTCAAAATGAGTGGTTGCATGTCTACACTGACGGCTCTATGTTAGAGAGAAATTGTGTTGCCGGAACAGGTATCCATAACAAGCTTCTCCACCAATGGGCCCTATTACTACTGCTTTTGATGGGGAAATCGAAGCTATTGCTGTGGCTATTCAACAGCTCTCGATTCGTACCCACTCTTTTTTTAAAGGCAGTCATATTGTCAGATTCAAAAAGTGCACGTCTGAATAATCAAAATATTTTCCAAAGAATTTTAGACTAGGCCTTTGCTTAAGGCAATTGCACACAGAATTTCTTTACCATGGAATCCAGCCCATTGTGGAATTATGGGAAATAAAAAAGCTGATACATTGGCTAAAAAAGGAACTTTGTCATTATGCAACACATTATTACACCGCTTTATTTTCATAAGACTAAATTGTCTATACACCTGACTCTTAAGAAAAATTTTAAACACTATTTGATTCAATGTGTTATGGATAAGAGTTGGAGGATTCTGGAGAAAGACACAACTTTCACTCACAGTTTTCCCAGTTAAATAGATATATTTGCACAAACCACATCAAAGTCATAATTTCACAACAAAGGCCAAATATTATTCAGCTATTACAGCTATTTTGAAAAGACCAATATGCATTGAAAGAAAATGAGCTACAATAAAAACAATAATTTTAGTGATACAGTACAAAACCTGAGATCCAGAATCATCAAGACTTTGTATTTCTGAATTTTGAAAATCTCCAGATTTTAGATCAACAGTTAAAATAAGATGACATGCAGGCAAGAAAATATTAGGGCTTTGTTTTACATCAGATAGAAGAATAACCATCTGAGAGGCAGGTATGGTTGTACCAAGCGGCAGAATTTAGGAATGGCAAAATTTTTAAAATTTAAAGCACTAAGCAACAAAAAACAGAGCTGGCAAAATTTTTTATAATTTAGCAGCATTTAGGAGTGGCAAAAATTTTAAAATTTAAAGCACTAAGCAACAAAAAATAAGAGATTGCAAAATTTTTATAATTTAGCAGACGCATTGGGCCACAGTATTTAGGGGCGACATAATTTTTTAGGAGTTTAGGGAGGTATCGGGTAGCAGAATTTAGGACCTGTCAGGACTGCCCTCCTGAACAACCACTTACAAAGGGGAAAGTGTGATCCTGGTGAACAAAACATTGTTATTGGCTTTCGGACTAACCAATAAACAAAGCGACTTTTTTCTTGAGCATTATTTTCTCCATATCTAAATTTTATGTGTAGGGGGAGAATTTTTCTCACAACTTCATTTACTTATTTTTTGGCTGATGATGCAGATGTCAGACATTGTTCTGTAGTTGCTTTAAAATAGGAAATGACTACATGACTTTTCATGCAAAAGTAAAAATGAATTAACCTTTGGAAAACATTTCTTTGAATTCTAGAGACATGATTTAAAAACTTAACAAGCAAAATTGAAATGGCTTTTTTTTTAAAATATGCAAAATGCATGTAGGCCATTTTTTTTTAAACCAAGATATACAATATACAAACATGACTAACCTCCCACTTCAAAGACAGATTGAGATACATGAGTTGTTGAACTTGAACTACTTCCTTTTGAACGTTGTTTTCTAGTTTTAGGAGGGCGATTGGCAGGAGAATGGTGTGAAATGGAAGCACGTGGAAACCTTGCGATTGATGGCAGCTGTGGCAACAGCAATGGCCCAAGATGCTGCTGCATGGGAGGACCGATCAGACAAAGATCTTAAAAAAAGAAGTACAATAGCTATATTTTCACACATCATATGAAAAAATATGCATTACTTTTTACTTTTATAATTATAAATGTGTATTATTATTTATTAAAATTATTTAAAGACAAACAACAAAATGATTATTTAGAACTTTAAATAAATGATACATTTTCAATTCTGCAAATCTATGATTATCATTATTAAAGACGAGAAATATGCAACATTATGAGTGACATTATTAAACGTAAAGAAAGAGTCAAAGAGAATATTTGAGGGTGGGAAACAGAAAATTAAATGCAGCTATTTTAAACATGCCTTGTGTCTTGCACATTTTTCTGGTTAAAAAAGGGGGAGGGGAAAAAAGCACTAACAGTTAACGGTATATAAAATACTAAATAATACATGAGATCCTGAACATTATGTATTAAATAATAAATGATAGGTTTAAGAGGAACATATTTGTTTTAGTGTTGACAAGGATATGACAAGGTCCAAAACTGTACATTCAGAACACAGTTAACCTGAAAACACAAGGAAAGATACATGTGGTGTACATTGACCAAATAATATATTCTGTAAATAAATTTTAATAGAAAAACTAGAATCACTAGGTAACAAATTAAAGATATGCCATACCAGCAAATTTTACTTTGATTAATTTTATACATTAATGTTATAAGCTTACACTTTAAAAACGAATGAGTTCACCAATAAACTTATTTTACTGGGTATGCGCATAAATTCTACCCATTTTGCAAATGCAAAGTGTGATCTGACTTATGTTAAAAATAACTAATTTTTACAAAACTAAATAGGTAACAGAGTATATTTAGACACTGAGTTCACCAGAGTAACTCTTGTGTTTATTAGATGGCAAGTCATGAAAAGCACCTCACACATTGCTTATTATACAAATTTCATAAATGCAATACAGCATACTAAATCTGATATAGTATGTGGAGAAGATGCAGCTGATGATAGCTGAGCAATTGATGTAATGAATAGAAATGTTCTGGACACATGTCAGTGGTTTCTGATGACGTTCTGAACCAGAACCGAAAAACCAAATCACATTCAACGGTTCATAAACTAGAGGAAATGTAAGTAGATGGAAAAACAATTAAAAAGACAGATGAAGACTTCTGGATTCACCACAAAGTTTGATCAACAAGATGTAAATGACTTTCTGGAAAGCAAAGAGAGAAGATAGTTGGCACTTGTGCTTCTTTTCTTCCTCACTACACAGGTGAACCAATTTTGGAATAAACTGTAATGAAAGATGTGAAATGGGTACCATACAATAAGCACTGAAGGACAGTGTAATAAGTTGCAAAACTACACCATAAACTTCAGAAATATTAGGTTAATTGATAAAGGCAAAGCAATTCAAGGCCTATCTGCCTATGGGGATGGTTATCTTTGTGTTTGTTTTTTAAGGGATATTAGCTTGTATCAATGTCACAGATGGAGAAAATCAAGACAAATTCCATGTGGGCAAAGTGTTTGATGGAATCTGAGCCTGGGTGAAACTACCAGTATTTAGCAAATTCACCACTCAGTTGCTGTTGGGCCTCAACTTTGAAAAGAGGACCACACTCCAAAATGATATCATGGGATTTCAAATGTATAATCGAATAGGTTGTAACCAAATGATTTAGGCTGGCCTCTATTACTACAATTCCAACAGCCTGAGAATCAAACACTAACAAACTAACACTTTGCTAGCACATCATTATGACCCTTCATCATGATTTATATGCCAAATTTTGTGCTGATTTATTTGCTTAACAAAAGTTATAGGGCTTTGGCTGGAAAGTGTTAATGCACCCTTACCATACTGGCAAGGCACCTTGCCTACAAGCTACCCTCATTCAGTCATTACAGAATACCTTCTTCTAAATAATTCTGATAATGTAGGAGGTATTAAAACAACATTTAAAGATTTTACTCATTTTTAAAACAGAAGAGTTTTACAGGTATGACATAAACTTGCTTCCAGACATATAGGTAGACGTCATACATAATTCAAGGAATTATATGAAATTATAACTACTTTTTGTGCTTTCCTTCTTTCCTTTTTGTTGAAAAACCAGGTAGCACTCTGGCACATACCCAACACTCACTTATTTTATAACTAATTAATTATAGCTATACTTAACTTTCACAAATATGAAAATCTTTTTCTTTTTTCAGCACAAATTTAAATCTTATGCAATTTGAACATTTTTGAAGACAAGGTTAGCTTATTTAACTCTCTATGAATCTTTTATCTGATCATCAGAAGTTTTGTCACTTGGCATATATTAGCTTATAATTTAAGATATTTTGTTTTCTTACTTTCTTTAATAATGTGAATATCTACATGAATGCAAGCTTATAAAAACAGATATTACAATTATACAAATTTATCTAATAAATGCTGTTTAAATACAGGTTTTCATGACCAATCTAAAATCCTGCACTGCTCAGAGGATTAAATATGGAAAGAGTGCTCACTGCCTAAGGGAAGAACGCTTTTGTGGAGGATGTGCTAAGAGAAACTGGCTGGTACTGATATTATGAGATTAGCCATGAAAACACCTATGTAGCTGGCTTGGCTACTCTTTTTTGGGTGAGTAAGGGTCTGGTGATTACTTTATCTTATTAAAAATCACTTGCTTATAATGCACAAAACGTAAAAAAAAAGGGGGGGTTATGAGTGACTTTAGTGCTGATATCCACTGCTCTACTGCATATCAAACGTAATGATAAATCATCCACAGAAATTCCTGGATAAGAGAGCTTGTGAAACTGTCAAAATCAGATATCGCAAAATAGTTCGATTTGATATCAAAAAACACATTTTTTTTAGCCAAAAGGAAGAATCATTGTTCAATGGTATATTAGTTCAGGATTATTTGTATGAATTAAAAGCAAATTGTTCAAAATTTAGGTCAGATGAAATACTGACAATTAGATGTGACAGTGTATCTGCTATGAAGTTCTCACTACCTTTCTCATTATGTATGATTGTAAAAAATTGTAAGAAATAATCCAAGTGACAAACCCAAACTTGCGTAGATGGATATATGTCAAGCTTTTGCTATAATTGTTCAATCTATATATATATATATATATATATATATATATATATATATATAGTGTGAGCTGAAGGTCTGATCAAGTATGAGCTGAATGTTTGACAGATGTATATTTCAGTCAATTTCACTATCATCAATCCAATAATCTTCATTTTGCACCTGGAATTCATTACCAATGAAGAGTTGCATTAAATACAGTATTTTCAGGATTAAAAATAATTTTTCTACTACCTCAGTCAATTGAAGTAAGACATGAAGTTTGTTTTATGTCACATATTTACTTGAAAACTCAAATATTTTATCATCAGGCACAAACAATTACATAACAAATAAATTAAAAACAACACAAATTAAAAATTAATATTTTAGCATCAGGCATTAATTTAAACCCTTTCCGGCACTCTACCTTTTAAAGTTGGAATTTCGGTTTAAAAAAAAAAATGGTAGGCAGTTTAATTAGGCCTAGAGGAGTACGCAAGTAAAATTTTGTAAAGATAGCACTTATCGTTTTAATTCTGTGGGTGTGCCCGAAGCCCATTTTTGGTTATATGATGATTACATGCTTATGAATGGAAAAAAAAGTAACTTGGGTATATGATATTTACACTTTAGTCTATTTTTTTTCAGCATGGTACTTTTCGAAGAAAGTGACACCACCTTCGAAAAAGCACAACCCAGCATTGCATGTTTTGCACATGTGCTGGGATCCATATCAAATTCACTATCTGAAATCAATTCATGTAGCACTTTCAGTGCTTTAGAAATGGTCAGCCCTCTCTGATCTGTTTGGAAAATAATTAAAAATCCGAAAAACATAAACTACAATTATACCTACAATTTGAAATTATAAACTATAAAATAAAAATATAAATGGCTACAACTCAAAACTATTAAATGTAGTGCTAAGAAACTTCTTTGAACCAAAGCAAAAGAGATAAAGATAACTGCTCTGGCGAAAAACCAAACAGCTAACTGATAAAAATTATCCCTGACCTTCAGAAAATCACCCCAACAATTTCTTAATTGATAACCAACCCCCCCAAAAAAAGGGGGAAAAGAAGAAAGAGAAAAACAGGAAATGAAACACAGATGTGGACCCACCTTTCTATGTTAATGAGCTGACCGATGAGCAGCAGAGAAACAAAGATACAGCTGCCTCTCAGTGAACCCAGTCTAGGAATACCTCGGTTCGCTGTTCGATTTTAGGCAAGATTTCAAGGTAAAAATTTAAAACTAATATACAATAAGGATATTAACATACAGCCAAAAAACAACATAGAAATTTCCTTTCAAACAAACAATTCCATTTATAACCTAAAAACAATCTGGAAGATTTCTTTGAAAAATGAGGGTCCTAAAAAACTAAACATGTTTAAAATATATGGACTGGATTGTGTTGAGCTGCCATCTACTATAAATAAAGAAGATTCAGAGTAACCTATAGTACCTTCAAATCCTTTTTCATTCAATTTTTCAGTGCGCACAGAAGGAAAATTTTAGGTGTGCCCAGACCAGGCACACTGTGCCGCAAATAAGACTAAGAAAATACATTATGAAATATCTCATATTTGTTTACGGAGAGTTTAAAATGCAGTCACACATTTTGTGAGAACCTTAATACCAAATTCTTTATATTCAAATATTCTAAAAATTCAACAGACTAAGTACAATTAGAGGCTTTGAAACTAGAATCATAATGTTATAAACATTCAAATACAACTTTTAGGTGTTTAAACTGTTTACTAGGTAAGAGTGAACTTACAAACATTACCAATTAAAGCATAAAAAAATGAAAGGTTATAAGGATTGTGTTAATTTTATTAACAGATAATTTTGAGTTTCCTGTCAAATTCTTAACTTCAACTTACTACTTCTGGCCAGAAAGTAGTTTTAGAATCGCGTCTGAATAAATTATGAGGAAGAGTGGTAT